ATAATTAGTAAATAATATAGTTTTAGCCTTAACTCATGATAAATAGACTTATATTTGTGTTAAAGCATGAAAAGTGGTTTTCAGTTGATTAACGTGAATTTTTGGGTAATTATGTGATTTTATACGATTTTTACAGTTTTAGTTTTGAGATAAATGAAGAACAAGAAATAAAAATAAAAATATTGCAAAATGGGAGGATCCGCCGGCCAGCCGGGCCCGCAAGTGGGTCGGAAGCGCAGTCGGAGAGTAGCCGCGAGCAGGGGCTCGAGCGGCTTGCTTGGGGATCGATAGGGGCACGTGTGCGCCACTCCCCTTCCACGTCACCAGTGGTCAGCCAGCTGTGGGGCAAGGAGTGGTCGTACACGCGAAAGGACTTTGCCTAGAAAGCTAACTTTACTATATATTCGCCCGAATAATCCGCGCACAACCGATGTGGGACTAAATCCACCTTGTTCAGGGGGCGACCGCCGCGGGTTCGAATCCTCCCAGAGTCAAAATTCATATATTTTTAACTGATTATCGCGACTTTCCTGCAGATCGCCGGTGAAGGATTAAGCAACCGAAATCGCTGGATCATCGGCGAAAATCTCGTCAACGCGATTCGCGGAGCATTGCTACTAAAACTTCTGAACGATTCGCGATAAAAGGATCGCAATCCATCGAGTAAATCATCTCCGATTGATCGACGAACAAGCCGTCGTCGGGAAGAGGACGATCTGCCGGGAGACCAGTCGCCACCTCCTGAGAGCGTACCAGATGCGATGAAGAGCCTCCTCTTGCTGCGCGGACTTGAGGATGAAGCTCCCTAACACGCGCCTCACCTCCATCCAGCCCCTCTCCGTCGGGTGACAGCCGCCAGAGAGCCGCAAAGTCGCCGTTTTTCCGCTCCGCCAGGTGACAGCCGCCGGAGACGATTCGACGACCCACTTCATTGGTCTCTAGACTTCGCGAGAAGATCTAGAGATTGCCCACGTCGTCTTTGTCCAAGGAGAGCCTTCGAGGCCGTGGACACTGCACGACGACCCTCCCGAACGCTCAGGGATTCCGGTGCATCGCCGACGCGTCGCCGTCGCGACGCCAGAACTCTGTTTTCCTGCTTTATCTAGAGATTGCCCACGTCGTCTTTGTCCAAGGAGAGCCTTCGAGGCCGTGGACACTGCACGACGATCCTCCCGAACGCTCAGGATTCCGGTGCATCGCCGACGCATCGCCGACGCATCGCCGTCGCGACGCCGGAACTCTGTTTTCCTGCTTTCAATTTAATTTACGCTTCATTTAGTGATACTTTGTTGATTTTTATTTACCAAACTATACTTCGTTCAACTACGATTCTTCCGGCTTTTACAGATCTTAATTTGATTAATTGAGTCGTCTGTAATCGCCTACGTAAGATTCGCCGGGCGGAACTCTGTTTCCGCCTGATTCGCGTTCGCCGGGCGCTGACGTCATCCTGACGTCCGCACCCTTATTTCCTCTTTTTTTTTGTGAATTTTAAATATATTTCTTTTTTATTTCCTAGTATAAAATTCGTAAGAAAATCGTACTCATTGAGAAAAATTCTGAATAATTACCAGATATTATATTACATCCCTGTGATCGACCTGGAAAATTACCGCTATTTTTGGAATTTTTATTGAATTATAATTGATATATTTATTTAGAAATACTTCTAAATATCCGAAAATTCGTATTTTCTAGTTTTATAAATTTTATATTTGCGTGATTTAACATACAACGACTGAGTCACGTCAACCAGCGACTGGGCGGAGTGACGGATGGTGGCTTTGGCGTGTTTATGGTGGAGTTCTAGATGAAGAGGTGGCAAATGAACCAAGAGTCGAGAGACTCCAGTGGAGTGCTCGGCGATGGCTCATAGGGAGGCAAAGCAAGCCCCTTTCCTCACGACGATGTGACGAGGTTCCAATAGAGACGGTGGTTGCAGTGGCAACTGCGATTGTTTCGTTCGGTAACAGCGGTGATCTCATAGGCAGCAAGGGAGATGTCCAGCGGCGGCCGTGGTCTTAGGTGGCAGTGGAACTTCTCTGGCAGCAGCGTCACAGTGAATGAAGTCCTCAAGGTATCATCGGCCTTCCTCTCCCTCCTTCCCTCCCTATTCTAGGTCACGAGGAAGATAACACACAATGATAATTTCTCTCGAAAAAATATGGCACCCTCTTGAGGGGGTCCTACGGGCCACTTGAGGCCCTCAAGCCCATAAGCCACAAAAAAGGCTACAAAAGGGGCTTATTGGGCCTCTTAAAGAGAGACCCAATAAGCTCCCCTAAAAGGAGAAAAAGGAGGGCCCTCTTATGGTGCTTAAGTGGGCCTCAAATGAAGACCCAAGTAAGCCCTAAAAGAAGCCTAAAAAAGAAAGAAGCCTAAGTCCCCCTCTTAGGGTTTTAATTGGGCCTTGGGCCTCAAAAGAGAGACCCAATAAAATCCTAAAGAAAGAGAGACACAAACAACAACACACATATAGAATTGGGCCTGCTAACACCCAAATATGAGGCCCAACAAGTCACGTGAAAACACAAAGAAAGATAAGGGTGAGCTCGAGCTCATCGTCATTGTGCAAGTGGAATGTCGTTGTCCCGAAGGGCTAGGCCGTGTAGCGAAAGCCAGCCTCCTTCGTCTTCCCACTTTGATTGGGCTGAACTCAGACTATCAATGTCTCTTGAGTTGATGGAGACAAGTCCTGCTCACCATTAATCCTCTCGGGGTCGAAAGAACTTGACTCCGACGAGTTAGCAAGTGGGGAAGGTAGGGGCTTGATAAGTCTTCATTATCATGAGTTAATAATTAGTAAATAATATAGTTTTAGCCTTAACTCATGATAAATAGACTTATATTTGTGTTAAAGCATGAAAAGTGGTTTTCAGTTGATTAACGTGAATTTTTGGGTAATTATGTGATTTTATACGATTTTTACAGTCTTAGTTTTGAGATAAATGAAGAACAAGAAATAAAAATAAAAATATTACAAAATGGGGGGATCCGCCGGCCAGCCGGGCCCGCAAGCGGGTCGGAAGCGCAGTCGGGGAGTAGCCGTGAGCAGGGGCTTGAGCGGCTTGCTTGGATCGATAGGGGCACGTGTGCGCCACTCCCCTTCCACGTCACCGGTGGTCAGCCGGCTGTGGGGCAAGGAGTGGTCACACACGCGAGAGGACTTTGCCTAGAAAGCTAACTTTACTATATATTTGCCCGAATAATCCGCGCACAACCGATGTGGGACTAAATCCACCTTGTTCAGGGGGCGACCGCCGCGGGTTCGAATCCTCCCAGAGTCAAAATTCATATATTTTTAACTGATTATCGCGACTTTCCTGCAGATCGCCGGTGAAGGATTAAGCAACCGGAATCGCTGGATCATCGGCGAAAATCTCGTCAACGCGATTCGCGGAGCATTGCTACTAAAACTTCTGAACGATTCGCGATAAAAGGATCGCAATCCATCGAGTAAATCATCTCCGATTGATCGACGAACAAGCCGTCGTCGGGAAGAGGACGATCCGCCGGGAGACCAGTCGCCACCTCCTGAGAGCGTACCAGATGCGATGAAGAGCCTCCTCTTGCTGCGCGGACCTGAGGATGAAGCTCCCTAACACGCGCCTCACCTCCATCCAGCCCCTCTCCGCCGGGTGACAGCCGCCGGAGAGCCGCAAAGTCGCCGTTTTTCCGCTCCGCCGGGTGACAGCCGCCGGAGACGATTCGACGACCCACTTCATTGGTCTCTAGACTTCGCGAGAAGATCTAGAGACTGCCCACGTCGTCTTTGTCCAAGGAGAGCCTTCGAGGCCGTGGACACTGCACGACGACCCTCCCGAACGCTCAGGATTCCGGTGCATCGCCGACGCGTCGCCGTCGCGACGCCGGAACTCTATTTTCCTGCTTTATCTAGAGATTGCCCACGTCGTCTTTGTCCAAGGAGAGCCTTCGAGGCCGTGGACACTGCACGACGATCCTCCCGAACGCTCAGGATTCCGGTGCATCGCCGACGCATTGCCGTCGCGACGCCGGAACTTTGTTTTCCTGCTTTCAATTTAATTTACGCTTCATTTAGTGATACTTTGTTGATTTTTATTTACCAAACTATACTTCGTTCAACTACGATTCTTCCGGCTTTTACAGATCTTAATTTGATAAATTGAGTCGTCTGTAATCGCCTACGTAAGAATCGTCGGGCAGAACTCTGTTTCCGCCTGATTCGCGTTCGCTGGGCGCTGACGTCATCCTGACGTCCGCACCCTTATTTCCTCTTTTTTTTTTGGTGAATTTTAAATATATTTCTTTTTTATTTCCTAGTATAAAATTCGTAAGAAAATCGTACTCATTGAGAAAAATTCTGAATAATTACCAGATATTATATTACATCCCTGTGATTGACCTGGAAAATTACCACTATTTTTGGGATTTGTATTGAATTATAATTGATATATTTATTTTTAAATACTTCTAAATATCCGAAAATTCGTATTTTCTAGTTTTATAAATTTTAAATTTGCGTGATTTAATATACAACGACTGAGTCACGTCAGGGCTCTAGTAGGTCTGGTTCTAGTCACTCTAGGTCTGCCTCCAAAATCCAAGCATCGTCCTTCTATGGGCGAGCCTACCAATGTACTAGGACTCTTTGTGAAACTCTATCCCCTATAAAGTCAATTACCTCTCGAAGAATCTCCTTGACTCGCTCATGCCAATCAGGTGGTAAAATGGGGGGAGTGGACTTGATGGCGAGTGGGACATAGAGATAATCTTCTCTATATTCTATGTGAATATAGAGATAATTTTGGAGGAGAAAATTTGAATTTTACTGAATTCATTAGATCTGAGATTAAAGAAGACAATCCTTCCATCCTTCAAAACCCACAGCCCATTAGAATTATTTCTAAGCTTGAAATATTTCACTCCTCACAAATTGAACAAATATGTATGGAAGATAAAATGGAGCAGGGGAAGATTATGCAGATAAAAGAAGACATTAAGAAATGGGTGAGTGGAAGAATTAGAGATACCAATTTAGATGAAAAAATTTTAGATTGGGCAAGAGCTAATCTGAAAATTATATGGCCTGATCACATTTTATGGTTTATTAATAGAAAGTATTTATTAATGAATGAAAGCCTAACAAAACAAGATAGAAATAAGGAAAGATTCTTTTCAAAATGGAGATATTATTTTTGGGAAAAAATTGTTAATTTCCATTTTGTTTTGGCTGAAAGTATGTCAAGGTATATATATGAAGTATATGAATTTATGCTAAATCTGAAAAAGAATATCATAAAACTTACCTTGGGATACAAATATATTTTGATGGCCATAGATCATCTTATATGATATAAGAGCTGTGCAGCTGGAGACATTAAATTCAGCGCTGCATGAGAGGCAACCCATGGTTTTTATTTCATTCTGTTTGATTTTTTTTTAAGCTCTATTTTTCTTAGAATTTCTCAGTACTTGTTTCTGTATTTGTTTTTCTGTTGAAAAAGTGCAGGAGGAGTGTAAGATGAAGTGGAAAATTAAAAACGAGGTTGAGGTGATGTCTTTCTGAGCTTCATCATTTATGAAAATATTTTTAATGCTTAACTTTGCAGATATGCATGCTTCACTTGAAAATTATATTTTCTGCATATTCTGTTTCGAGTTTTTTGTGTCATTGAGGTCAATGTCATTTTTAAGTTGGGGGGTGAAGTATTCATTATTAATTTATGCTTTAGGACGATTAAGAACATGTGTTTGAATTTTATTCAACTTAGAACAGTAACTAAAAAAATAAAAATAAAATAAAATTCGGAAAAATTGCGACATCTATTTTCTGGTTTTCTGTCAGAAACAACAGAATGTTAGAAACAGCAGACAAAAAACAGCCCGAAATTTGAAATTCTAGAAGACCTTTTCTCACATTTCAATCCCCTAGATATATATTACTGAAATTCGAAATTACAGCTATAAAGAAGATAGTTTTGATTTATTTTTGACAAATTTATTTCTACTAAAAATAGAACTGAAAACAGAAAACGGAATTGTCAGAACTATCTAATTTACAAATTCCTTACATCATTATACATGCATTAAAAATTAAATCAATTAGATTGATTGATACCAAAAGATACTAGGAAGATTATTATTGAGTCAAAAGAATGATCTAGTAGCATAAAATGTTGGAATACTCCTTGGATACATGATAGATAATAGGGATTTGATTTTGCAGATTTTCACTTCATGATCTTGATGGATAGTATTTACTTGATGTGAAAATTTGATTGATCATTTGAGTTTAATGGAGATTTTTGCACCCTGATCTATAGGACTTGTGAGGAGAAATCACTTATTTTGAAAAAAAAAAAAAAAAGAGAGAGCAATGTGAAAAATCTAGAAATGAAGAGTACACATGGAGGGTGTGAGACATCATTCTCATTGTCGAAAATCGTGCATAGAAAAACACTTGTTGAAAAGTAAGTGGATAAAGTGAAAGCCCTGAAAATGAAGAGTACACACGGAGGGTGTGAGACATCATTCTTATTGTTGAAATTTATCTACAGAAAAAGCTACTTATCCACTATATATATATAAAAAAAAAAAGAAGGAAGAAATATAGTGCAAACTTCAAAAATCAAGTCATAGAAAAAGGGAAATGTAAGATCAATATTATTCTTGGATGAGTATTGATAATTGGAACATCTTGTAAATACATCTATGAGTGAAGAAGTGATAAAGATGTGAATAGAAGAAGTGAAGTCTAGATTGTTATTCCAAGGAGTGTTTAAACATTTAAGTGCTTGGCATCATTCTTAAATACTTGATATAAGAATCCAAAGTGTTTAACGGTGCATCATTTCTAATTATATTTTTTTTCTGTATTGAAATATGATGTTTGAGATTTGTAAAATTTTATTTTCGTAATTCCATTGCTAAGGGACTAACAATGATTTAAGTTCAGGGGTGTGATAAGTCTTCATTATCATGAGTTAATAATTAGTAAATAATATAGTTTTAGCCTTAACTCATGATAAATAGACTTATATTTGTGTTAAAGAATGATTTTTGGTTTTCAATTGATTAACGTGAATTTTTGGGTAATTATATGATTTTATACGATTTTTACAGTCTTACTTTTGAGATAAATGAAGAACAAGAAATAAAAATAAAAATATTGCAAAAATGGGGGGACCCGCCGGCCAACCGGGCCTGCAAGCGGATCGGAAGCGCAGTCGGGGAGTAAGCCGCGAGCAAGGACTCGAGCGGCTTGGCTTGGAGACCGACAGGGCACGCGTACGCCACTCCCCTTCCACGTCACCGGTGGCCAGCCAGCCGGCTGTGGGGCAAGGAGTGGTCATACACACGAGAGAAGGGACTTTGCTAACAAAGCTAACATTACTATATATTCGCCCGAAAAATCGGCGCAACCGATGTGGGACTAAACCCCCGTCACACCTTCCTCAGAAGAGGCGGGCGACCGGCGCGGGTTCGAATCCTCCCAGAGTCAAAATTCATATATTTTTATCTGATTATCGCGACTTTCCTACAGATCGCCGGTGAAGGATTAAGCAACGAGAATCGCTGGATCATCGGCGAAAATCTTGTCAACGCGATTCGCGGAGCATTGCTACTAAAATTGCTGAACAATTCGCGATAAAAGGATCGTGAATCCATCGAGTAAATCATCTCCGATTGATCGACGAACAAGCCGTCGTCGGGAAGAGGACGATCCGCCGAGAGACCAGTCGCCACCTTCTGAGAGCGTACCAGATGCGATGAAGAGCCTCCTCTTGCTGCGCAGACTTGAGGATGAAGCTCCCTGACACGCACCCCACCTCCATCCAGCTCCTCTCCGCCAGGTGACAGCCGCCGGAGACGATTCGATGACCCACTTCATTGATCTCTAGACTTCGCGAGAAGATCTAGAGATTGCCCACGTCGTCTTTGTCCAAGGAGAGCGTTCGAGGCCGTGGACACTGCACGACGATCCTCCCGAACGCTCACGATTCCGGTGCATCGCCGACGCATCGCCGTCGCGACGCTGGAACTTTGTTTTTCTGCTTTCAATTTAATTTCCGCTTTATTTAGTGATACTTTTTGTGATTTTAATTTACCAAACTATACTTCGTTCAATTACGATTCTTCCAGCTTTTACAGATCTTAATTTGATTAATTAAGTCGTCTGTAATCGCTTACGTAAGAATCGCCGGGCGGAACTGTCTTTCCGCCTGATTCGCGTTCGCCGGGTGCTGACGTCATCCTAACGTCCGCACCCTTATTTCCTTTTTTTCGTGAATTTTAAATATATTTCCTTTTTATTTCCTAGTATAAAATTCGTAAGAAAATCGTATTCATTGAGAAAAATTCTGAATAATTACCAGATATTATATTACATCCCTGTGATCGACCTGGAAAATTACCGCTATTTTTGGAATTTTAATTGAATTATAATTGATATATTTATTTAGAAATACTTCTAAATATCTGAAAATTCATATTTTCTAGTTTTATAAATTTTATATTTGCGTGATTTAATATACAATGACTGAGTCATGTCAGCCACTCTGCCTAGTCGCTGGCCGTTCACCGAAAAACACCAACCTGCCGTCGAAAAACGCCGACCTGCCACCGACATCGCAAGAGAGCCTGCAGCCGTGCCGACGAGCCAGAACTAGTCCAAGCACCGCACAGGAACCCTGTCGGAGTTTCTTGACGCTCCACCGCTGTCGCGCCGTTTCTGGTGCCACTTAGACTAGGAGAGCTCAACCTTCCCTAGTATTGTCGGCTGGATTGTCTCCGCTCTACTCTGCTTCCCGGCGCTGCAAGAGAGGCCGATCCGTCTAGTGACAGTTAGGTTTCCGCCCCAACCACTAACGCTTGGCATTCCTGCCAAAAGTGCCGCTGACGCTAGGCATTCCTACCGAAGCGCCACTGACGCTCGGCCTTCCCGCTGGATGTCGACGCTCAGCATTCCCGTCGAAGCACCGCTGACACTTGGCATTCCTACCGAAGTGCCGCAGACGCTTGGCCTTCTTGCCGAAGTGCTGCCACCGCGTGCGCCCCGCGCACCAGCTCTTGCGGCCTGTGCGGCCACCTAGCGCTACTGCCCTTGTGCCCTAGGGCACGCTGTGTGACTTGCTGAGTACGCCCGATAGCGTGCCCTTTTGGCCCACCAGTGGGCCCACACTTGCTAGCATGCCCTTTGGCCCATCTACAGGCCCACACCCATGCCGACCGTGCCACACCCTAAGATGACGACTTCCGTGACTCTCGACCAAGACCGACCATCGACGCTGAGCATCGCTCTTCACTGAACGTCCCTACCTTCGTCAGATCTCCACTCCATCACAACCCACTAGGCTACGTAGCCTTGAAGGTTAGCTCCGTACCCCTTCTTACTTAAGTTTAATTATCTTTCAAAGGATTTTCTCAGCTCGTCTCTACCGCCTTCAGTAGCACGTAGGCAAGATAGGATAGGTTATCAGATCATGACTTCCGACGTTGTGCTAGACTCGTCACAGTTCGTGAGCTACAGCCCTAGGCTACTTCACGATGACAGTTCAAGCATTTGTCTAGATGTGGACCGAGAGGGCCTCTCACTCACCATCGTCGAGTGTTTCCTCGGGTTGTCTTGGGATGATCATGCATAATGGTATGTTTGCTTGTGCTTAAGTTACGTGGTTAGACCTAGAGTCTAGGGTCCAAACATTCTTATTAGATCAGTCTGACTACCTCATGTCAAAACTCGAGTTTCATTAATTAGGTATAGGGAGGTTCTCACCCTATCCTACATCAAATTGGTATCAGAGCTAGGTTAGGATACCACCTAACCTTGGTCCCCTGAGGACGCTCATTGAGCTTCCATACCCCTAGTCGACCATTCATATAGGATTGCATTGGCATCTAGACACTCATAGGACCTAGCCGTGGTAGAGACACACTCAGCCAGAGCTTGAGGAGGTTCACCATCGTCACAACACTCGTGCGAGGCCTCAGATCCCGCTACTCCCTGAGTAGCTAGAGTGGACATGAGTCCACCATCTTCATCGAGACCGACGGATTCGGTACCAGACCCCTCCCAACCTCGAGAGACTTCGAGCCCTATGTCGGCTAGAGAGGCATCAAGACGGTCCCAACAACCCGCGGCTACGAGCTGTCAAGCTGGGAAGGAATCTGCGCCTTACTATCCATTGAAGAGTACTAGGGGTCATGACAGTGGTGGCCAATGGCAACCTTCGCCCTAGTACCCTTCGAGGGATGGAGCGTGTCCCCTCCTAAATGATGTCATTTGTAGCATGACCCGGGCTATTGAGCATTTGGAGCAAGCTACCTTTGTAGCCACAGCTCATGGCCCACCACCACTGGCTCCATTGCCGGGTCGCATATCCAGTCGCACCACCGACCACACCATCTGTTACATAAGCATATCAAGAGCATCGCGAGCCTTGCCAGCCCGTGAGCCCCTATAGTGATCCATATGATCACCAGTACCTTGATCATGATCATCATCGAGGGAATCTTTGTCGTCACGACGCACCTCATCACGATGATGGCCACGATCGATTGGGTGCTCGTTGGCCACAGGATACTTATGATCGCCATGAGTCGGTCTACCTTGCTGATAAGTCTTCATTATCATGAGTTAATAATTAGTAAATAATATAGTTTTAGCCTTAACTCATGATAAATAGACTTATATTTGTGTTAAAGTATGATTTGTAGTTTTCAGTTGATTAACATGAATTTTTGAGTAATTATGTGATTTTATATGATTTTTACAGTCTTACTTTTGAGATAAAAGAAGAATAAGAAATAAAAATATTGAAAATAGGGGGACTTGCTGGCCAATCGGGCTCGCAAGCGGGTCAGAAGCACAATTGGGGAGTAGCCATGAGCAGGGCCTCGAGTGGCTTGGCTTGGACCGATAGGGGCACGTGTGCGCCACTCCCCTTCCACGTTACCGGTGGCCAGCCAACTGTGGACCAAGGAGTGGTCGTACACGCGAGAGTACTGACTTTGTTTATAAAGCTAACATTACTATATATTCGCTCGAAAAATCAGCACACAACCGATGTGGGACTAAACCCGCGTCACACCTTCCTCAGAGGCGGGTGACCGGCGAGGGTTTGAATCCTCCTAGAGTCAAAATTCATATATTTTTATCTGATTATTGCGACTTTCTTGTAGATCGTCAGTGAAGGATTAAGCGACGAGAATCGCTGGATCATCGGTGAAAATCTTGTCAACACAATTCGCGGAGCATTGCTACTAAAACTGCTGAATGATTCACGATAAAAGGATCGCAATCCATCGAGTAAATCATCTCCAATTGATCGACGAAAAAGTCGTCGTCAGGAACAAGACAATCCGCCGAGAGACGAGTCGCCACCTCCTGAGAGCGTACCAGATGCGATGAAGAGCCTCCTCCTGCTGCGCAGACCTAAGGATGAAGCTCTCTGACACGTGCCCCATCTCCATCCAACTCCTCTCCGTCGGGTGACATTCACTAGAGAGCCACAAAGTAGCCATTTTTCTGCTCTGCCGGGTGATAGCCGCCGGAGATGATTCGACGACCCACTTCATTGATCTCTAGACTTCGCGAGAAGATCTAGAGATTGCCCACGTCGTCTTTGTCCAAGGAGAGCCTTTGAGGCTATGGACACTGCACGACGATCCTTCCAAATGCTTAAGATTCTGGTGCATCACTGATGCATCGCCGTTGCAACGCCGGAACTCTATTTTCCTGCTTTCAATTTACTTTACGCTTCTTTAGTAATAGTTTTTGTGTTTTTAAGTTACCAAAATATACTTTGTTCAATTATGATTCTTCCAACTTTTACAGATCTTAATTTGATTAATTAAATCATCAATAATCACTTACGCAAGAATCACTAGGTGAAACTCTGTTTTCGCCCGATTTGTATCCACTAGGCGCTGACATCATCCCGACGTCCGCACCCTTATTTCCCTATTTTCATGAATTTTAAATATATTTCCTTTTTATTTCCTAGTGTGAAATTCATAGAAAATCGTATTCATTGAGAAAAATTCTGAATAATTACCAGATATTATATTACATCCCTATGATCGACTTAGAAAATTACTGCTATTTTTGAAAGTTTTATTGAATTATAATTGATATATTTATTTAGAAATACTTTTAAATATCTGAAAATTCATATTTTCTAGTTTTATAAATTTTGTATTTACGTGATTTAATATACAATGACTGAGTCATGTCAAATTTTGGCACCGTTGTTGGGGATGTATTGCATAATATTTAGTATTTTTTTGTTTTTCTCTTAGAGTACACAAAAAAATAAAAATAAATTAACTCTTATTTTATTTTCTTTTTGCTGATTTTTTATGAAAAAAAGGGAACAAAAAGAAGTAAGGCAAGAACTGGAGAATCTTGAAGGAGGGTAATAGTTACTAACTTTTTCCCTAGAATTTGTTGATTTTATGCATGGTAGAAGTTCCTTGCATTTAAGGCTAGAAAATCCTTTCATTATTTCATTCAAAAATAAAAATCTAAAAGAAAAATTAATTTTGATGGATCTTGAAGGAAGTATAGGTCAAACTGAGAACAATCCTATGGCCATGAAAAATCATTATATCCCTGATTTATTTCAAAGAGCATCTAATATTAGAGTCCCATTAGCACCCACTGTTAAATTCGAAATAAATCTAAGAATTTTTCAAATGCTCCCTAATTCGAAATAAAAATTTCATATGGTCTGTGATTTAGTTAATCTCTTTCAAGTTACACTGGAAATTATTAAGATGAAATTATTCCCTCATACACTTAAGGACAAAACTAGTCATTGGCTATCCACATTAGATAGAGAATTAACTAACTAGAAACATATAGAATAGGCCTTTCTTCGAAAAATTTATCCCTTAGGAAAAACTCAAAATATGAGAAAACATATATGAAGTTTTTCTCAAAGACCAAGAGAAACTTTGCATGAGACATGGGAAAAATTCAAAGATTTACTTAGAAAGTGTCTTCATCATGCTATACCCAAGTGGCAGCTCAATATAATTTTTTATGATGGATTATTAGAACAATATAGAAATATGGTTGATTCTATATGTGGAGGAGCTTTTATGGAGAAAACTCTTGATGAGATTTACAGTCTTTATGAGAATTTAAGTGAAAATTCTAGAGATCAAGCCTCTTTTGAATTATATGATAGGGATAAGAAGAGAAGAATTTATGAATTACATCATGATGATGATTCTAAACTTAAAAAATGAGGTTAATCAGATTAATCAAAGATTAGAAAAAATTGATTCACTTATTGACAATATTAGAAAGCCTTTTAACCCTCAATTTAATTTGAATAGTACATGTCCTATGTATGGTGAAAATGATTATTTTGAATTTTAATGTTATAATTTAGATCAATCATTTCACCCTATGTAAGAACAAGTGCAAGTAGCTCACGGTTTTAATAGAAATAGGGAACCTTTTTCAAATTCTTATAATCCTAATTGGAGGAATAATTTTTCATGGAGAGACCCAAATAATATTCAAAATTCAGAAGCACTTAGACCCAATTCAAACTCTAAATTTCGTCCAAAATAAGAAAACAGATTTCAGAAAAATCAGCCCTCTGAAACCCAACCTGATACTATGGAAATAATACAGCAAATGAGCCAAATGATGCAACAAATTATGAATCAATGATGCAGCACTAGAAACAAATTATAGAGTCCCTTGGGAATAAGAGAAAAGAGGGACAGCTACCTAGTCAGCCCATAAAAAATCCAGGGAACTACCCAACAATAGGATTTCAGCAAGGGGAGTCTAGTAGCATGAATCTAGGAAAAAACTCACGAAATGAAAATATTAGGACAGTGAATACATTAAAGAGTGGTAAGATCTTACCTGATTCTTATCCCCAAATATTAGAAGAAAAAGAAAACATGGATAACCTAAAACAAAATCAAATAAGAGTAGAAGAGGATTTTATAGATTCTACCAAGGAAATTTCGAAAGAGAAGACAACCATTCTATTTCCTAAAGCTCTAGAGCCTAGACAAAGAAAGAAAAAGGAATACAATGAAGAAATAATTTTTTTTTTACAAGATGTGCAAATTAGTCTTCCTTTACTCACTGCCATTGAACATATTTGTGAATATGCTAGAGTATTGAAAGAAATGTGTACACTAAAAAAGGCACCTAGAGTAGAAAAATTATCTATGCATGCTAGTGCATTATTATTAAATCAATTACCATATAAATTGAGAGATACAAGTGACCCTTTAATTTTGTGTGATATTGGTGGTTCCATTTTTCAGAATGTATTACTTGACATCGATGCTAGTATTAATTTATTACCTACAAGTATTTGTGATAAATTTAATATTTCTGATCTTAAACCTTCTACTATTACCTTATAATTTGCTGATAGATTCATAAAACATCCTAAAGGTATTTTAGAAAATGTGATAGTAATAGTTAAAGGGTGTAAATTTCCAACTGATTTTGTAGTGCGGGAAATGGATTTTAATAGACAGTTTTATGATACACCAATCATCATAGGGAGACCATTTTTGCATATAGCAAAGATGAATATTGATTTTCCCACAAGTATTGTGAAAATTTCATGTGAAGATCAATCAGTAGAAATTAAAATTCTTGAGGTACTAAATGATCTTAAGAAATCACAAGTATATGATTGTCATACCATAGATCTTCTAGATGATTTTGATGATCCAGATGTTATTGATGATTGTGTGTTAGAAGAATTAGAGGAAATAGAGAATATAAATTTGAGAGGAAAGAAAGAGGAAGATCATCTAAATTTAGAGTTGAAACCTCTTCCCTCTAGTTTAAAATATATGTTTTTGGAGGAAAATAATTCATTTCTTATTATTATTGCAGCTGATTTGAGTGATGAATAGGAAGAAGAATTATTAGATGTACTTAGAAAAAATAAGAAGGTTATGGGCTGGAAAATGGACGATCTATGAGTGTATTCATGCATAGTATATATCTAGAGGAGGGGGCTAGAACTAGTAGGGAACCACAACGAAGATTAAATCCTAACATGATGGAAATTATAAAAAAATAAATTTTAAAGTGGCTAGCTGCTGATATTATTTATCCTATTTCAGATAGCAAATGGGTTAGTCCTACACAAGTAGTGCCAAAAAAATCAGGGATCATGATTATAAAAAATAAAAATGGGGATGAAATACAAACAAGATTAACTACTAGTTGGAGGATTTGCATTGATTATAGAAAATTAAATTCAGTTACTAGAAAAGATCATTTTCCCCTACCATTTACTGATCAAATTCTAGAAAAATTAGTTGGAAAAAACTTTTTTTGTTTTCTGGATGGATACTCTGGTTATAATTAAATTTATATAAACCCTTTGCATCAAGAAAAAACAACTTTCACTTGTCCATTTGGTACTTTTGATTTTAAACAAATGCCTTTTGGTCTGTGTAATGCTCCAACCACATTTCAAAGATGTATGCTGTCTATTTTTTCTGATATGATTGAAAAATGCATGGAAATTTTTCTAGACGATTTTTCTATTTTTGGTGAATCATTTGATGAATGTTTAAATCATTTACAGCATGTACTTGAGAAATACATAGAGAAAAAGTTAGTTTTGAGTAGGGAGAAATCACATTTTATGGTTAAAGAGGGAGTTGTGTTGGGTCATATTGTGAGTGAAAGGGGTTTAGAGGTAGATAGAGCAAAAATTGATATTATATCTAAAATAAAACCTCCAAATTCAGTAAAACAGATTATATCTTTCTTAGGTCATGTAGGTTATTACAGAAAATTTATTCAAGATTTTTTGAAAATTTCTAAACCTCTCACCATGCTATTATCTAAAGATGTACCTTTTAATTTTGATGAGAAATGTTTTGAGTCTTTTTCCGAAATAAAAAGATTACTTACTGAGGCACTCATTTTACAAGCTTGTAATTGATCCCTTCCCTTTGAAATAATATGTGATGCATCGAATTATGCAATGGAGGCCGTTCTAAGACAAATAAAAGAGTCAAAACCCATAGTAATTTCATATGCTAGTAAGACTATATCCGATGCTCAATTAAATTATACCACAACTGAAAAAGAGTTGTTAGCTGTAGTATTTTCGTTAGAAAAGTTTAGATCATATATTTTGGGAGCTAAAATTATTATTTATACTGATTATGCAGCATTAAAATATATGTTAAATAAGAAAGATGCAAAGCCACGTTTATTAAGATGGATTTTATTGTTGTAGGAATTTGACTTAGAAATAAAAGATAAAAAAGGTTTTGAGAATATTGTTGCTAACTATCTTTCTAGATTAAGTGATACAGGAATAAATGCAGCACCTTTACAAGACGCATTTCCAGATGAACAATTGATGGCAGCTCAACATCAACCATCACCATGGTATGCACATATTGTTAATTTTCTGGTTTCTGGAAAAACTCTAGAATAGTGGGATAAGAACAGAAAACATCATTTCCTTTCTAAGATTAGAAATTATTTTTGGCATGATCTTGATTTATATTACTTGGGCAATGATCAAATTTTAAGAAGATGTGTTCTTGAAGAAGAATATCATAGCATTATTAACATGTGCCATTCATCTAACTGTGGAGGACATTTCTCTGGACGAAAAACAGCTGTAAAATTTTTTCAGTGTGGTTTTTATTGGCCTACAATCATTAGAGATTCTATAGAATTTAGTAGAACATGTATTTCATGCCAATCTATAGGTAACATGAGTAAAAAATATGAAATGCCCATGAGTAATATGTTAGTAGCCGAAATTTTTGATGCATGGGGAATAGATTTCATGGGTCCCTTCCCATCAGCTGAAAAATATGAATATATTTTACTTGCTGTTGATTATGTGTCGAAGTGGGTGGAAGCTATTCCTACTAGAACTAATGATCATAAAATCGTGATGAAATTTGTGCAATAAAATATTTTTTCGAGATTTAGATGTCTTAGAGTGATTATTAGTGATGGAGGAACACATTTTACAAATAAACATTTTAGAGAACTATTGAAAAAGAATGGAGTACACCATAGAGTAGCCACTCCATATCATCCCCAAACAAATGGGCAAGCTGAAGTAGCAAATAGGGAAATTCAGAGAATTTTGAGAAAAATAGTTAGACCAGATAGGAAAGATTAGCCCATGAAATTACAAGATGCATTATGGGCTTATAGAATAGCTTATAAAAATCTCATAGGTATATCCCCATTTCGTCTCATTTTTGGAAAGCCATGTCATCTTTCTGTGGAAATAGAGCATAAAGTATTATGGGCTATAAAAAATTTATGTAGGGATGAAAAATCAGCTGGTGGGCATAGAATTTTTCAGCTACATGAACTAGAGGAGTTGAGGAATGAAGCTTATGAAAATCATAGAATATATAAAGAAAAAACTAAAACTTTTCATGATAAATATATTAGTAGAAAAAATTTGATGTTGGAGAAAAAGTGTGGTTATATGATTCTAGGCTGAAATTATTCCCAGGAAAATTAAAATCAAAATGGAAAGGGCCTTATGTGGTGGAAGAGACATATGATCATGGGGCTGTAATGATTAAAGATCTTAAAAGTGATCATAACTTTAAGGTAAATGGACAGCGGCTTAAACATTACATAGAACATGAATGCCTTGTAGAAATAGAAATTTTATTATTAAAAGAAATTCAAGAGAAAGATCAAAGAGTCTAGCTAGAGACATTAAATTCAGCGCTGCATGAGAGACAACCTATGGTTTTTATTTCATTTTGTTTGATTTTTTTAAATTATGTTTTCCTTAGAATTTCGTAGTACTTGTTTCTATATTTGTTTTTTTTTGAAAAAGTGTAGGAGGAGGAGTTTAAGATGAAGTGAAAAATTAAAAACGAGGTTGAGGTGATGTCTTTCTGAGCTTCATCATTTATGAAAATATTTTTAATGCTTAACTTTGTAGATATGCATGCTTCACTTGAAAATTATATTTTCTACATATTCTGTTTCGATTTTTCTGTGTCATTGAGGACAATGTCATTTTTAAGTTGGAGGGTGAAGTATTCATTATTAATTTATGCTGTAAGATGATTAAGAACATGTGTTTACATTTTATTCAACTTAGAACAGCAACTAAAAAAATAAAAATAAAATAAAATTCAGAAAAACTACAACATCTATTTTCTGGTTTTTTGTCAGAGACAACAGACTGTCAAAAATAGCAGACAAAAGCAGCCTGAAATTAGAAATTCTAGAAGACCTTTTCTCACATTTCAATCCCCTAGATATATATTACTAAAATTCGAAATTACAGCTATAAAGAAGATAGTTTTGATTTATTTTTGACAAATTTATTACTGCTAAAAATAGAATTGAAAATAGAAAATAGAATTGTCAGAACTATCTAATTTACAAATTCCTTACATTATATTGCATGCATGAAGAATTAAATCAATTAGATTGATTGATACCAAAAGATACTAGGAAGATTATTATTTAGTCAAAAGAATGATCTAGTAGCATGAAATGTTGAAATACTCCTTGGATACATGATAGATAATATAGATTTGATTTTATATATTTTCACTTCATGATCTTGATGGATAGTATTTACTTGATGTGAAAATTTGATTGATCATTTGAGTTTAATGGAGATTTTTGCACCTTGATCTATAAGACTAGTGAGGAGAAATCACTTATTTTGAAAAGAAAAGAGAGAGAAATGTAAAAAATCTAGAAATGAAGAGTACACATAGAGGGTGTGAGACATAATTCTCATTGTCGAAAATCGTGCATAGAAAAACACTTGTTGAAAAGTAAGTGGATAAAGTGAAAGCCCTGAAAATGAAGAGTACACACGGAGAGTGTGAGACATCATTCTTATTGTTGAAATTTATCTACAGAAAAAGCTACTTATCCACTATATATATATAAAAAAAAAAAGAAGGAAGAAATATAGTGCAAACTTCAAAAATTAAGTCATAGAAAAAGGGAAATGTAAGATCAATATTATTCTTGGATGAGTATTGATAATTGGAACATCTTGTAAATACATCTATAGTGAAGAAGTGATAAAGATGTGAATAGAAGAAGTGAAGTCTAGATTGTTATTCCAAGGAGTGTTTAAACATTTAAGTGCTTGGCATCATTCTTAAATACTTGATATAAGAATCCAAAGTATTTAAAGGTGCATCATTTCTAATTGTATTTTTTTTTTTGTATTGAAATATGATGTTTGAGATTTGTATATTTTTTTTTTCGTAATTCCATTGCTAAGGGACTATCAATGATTTAAGTTGGGGGGTGTGATAAGTTTTCATTATCATGAGTTAATAATTAGTAAATAATATAGTTTTAACCTTAACTCATGATAAATAGACTTATATTTGTGTTAAAGTATGATTTGTGGTGTTCAATTGATTAACGTGAATTTTTGGATAATTATGTGATTTTGTATGATTTTTATAGTCTTACTTTTGAGATAAATGAAGAATAAGAAATAAAAATATTGCAAAATAAGGGGACCTACTAGCCAGCCGGGCCCGCAAGTGGGTCGAAAGCAGGTCAGAAGCACAGTCGGGAGGTAGCCGCGAGTAGGGGCTCGAGCGGCTTGGCTTGGACCAATAGGGGTGCCCCTACTAGCTTAGCTCGAGGGGCTTGGCTTGGACCGATAGGAGCACATGTGTGCCACTCCCCTTCCACATCACCAGTGACCAGTCGGCTGTGGGGCAAGAAGTGGTCGTACATGCAAGAGTAGTGACTTTGCTTATAAAGCTAACATTACTATATATTCGCTCAAAAAATCGACGCACAACCAATGTGGGACTAAACCCGCGTCAAACCTTCCTCAGAAGCGGGCGACCAGTGAGGGTTCAAATCCTCCTAGAGTCAAAATTCATATATTTTTATCTTATTATCACGACTTTCTTGTAGATCACTGGTGAAGGATTAAGCAACAAGAATCACTGGATCATCGGCGAAAATCTCGTCAACGTGATTCGCGGAGCATTGCTACTAAAATTGTTGAATGATTCGCGATAAAAGGATCGCAATCTATCGAGTAAATCATCTCCGATTGATCGATGAACAAGCTGTCGTCAGGAAGAGGATGATCCGTCGGGAGACGAGTTGCCACCTCCTGAGAGCATACCAGATGTGATGAAGAGCCTCCTCTTGCTGCGTAGACCTGAGGATGAAACTCCCTGACACGTGCCCCACCTTCATCCAGCTCCTCTCCATCGGGCGACAGCCACCAGAGAGCCGCAAAGTCACAATTTTTCCGCTCCGCCGGGTGACAGCCACCGGAGACGATTCGACGACGCACTTCATTGATCTCTAGACTTCATGAGAAGATCTAGAGATTGCCCACGTTGTCTTTGTTCAAGGAGAGCCTTCGAGGCCGTGGACACTGCACGACAATCCTCCCGAACGCTCAAGATTTCGGTGCATCGCCGACGCATCGCTGTTGCGACACCAGAACTCTATTTTGCTGCTTTCAATTTACTTCATTTAGTGATAATTTTTAAATTTTTAAGTTACCAAAATATCTTTGTTCAATTACGATTCTTTTGGCTTTTATAGATCTTATTTTGATTAATTAAATCATTTGTAATCGCTTATGCAAGAATCGTCGGGTGGAACTCTTATTTCACCTGATTTGTGTCTGCCAGGCGCTAACATTGTCTTGATGTCTACACCTTTATTTCCCTTTTTTCGTGAATTTTAAATATATTTCCTTTTTTTTCTTAGTATAAAATTCATAGAAAATCATATTCATTGAGAATAATTCTGAATAATTACCAGATATTATATTACATCTCTGTGATCGACCTAGAAAATTACTACTATTTTTGAAAGTTTTATTGAATTATAATTGATATATTTATTTAGAAATACTTCTAAATATTCAAAAATTCATATTTTCTCGTTTTATAAATTTAATATTTGCATGATTTAATATACAACAATTGAGTCACATCACCTGCTCATAAGGATGATCTCCCACACCCACCACCACCACCACCTCGACCCTACTATGAGGACTATCGACCCCATGGACGTGACTAGGGACACGATAGGAGAGACCTTTCGAGTTATAGAGCTGACCCTTCCTGATGAGAGGAGCTCAATCGGCGAGTAGAGCATCAGCCACGAGATTGCGATGATTACTATTGCGACTACCAGCGTGCTCCGGACTTTCACCGAGCACCCTAGGACGCCCACCAAGATCGTTACTACGATCAAGGGCATTACCCGAGTCCTCCCCACCGTGACTTTGGTGGTGACCATAGGGCCGATTGATTGGATGATCGGGATAGGCGACGTGAGGATCACAAGGCCTGCATACTGAAAAGTGTGCATGCCAATGTGGTAGTCTTTGATGGCTCTCGTGAGCTGAAGGGCCTCATAGATTGGGAGTCTAGTATAAACTTTTATTTCCAATTGTATTGCATGGATGATGATTTATGCGTAGAGCATATAGAGCGACCCACCGAGGACACACAATTCACCCCACCTTCGACCATCACAAAGATCATGTCCACGCGATATGTACTGACACCGACGATAGCACCGACGCGTACTAGCATAGGGAACAGATGGACAACATCGGCGACATCAGTAGGGTTTGCACCACCCCCGTGTCTGCCACTAGCTGACGCATCTAACTATGCCACGGCCGCATCCCAAGCCCATATCACTTGTTTCAAGTGTAAGGGTAAGGGACACTGTATGAGCCAATGCCCATCTTCGAATCTCCTCATAGAGATTGAAGAATTGGGTAGTAGTTCACACGAGGATGCTGTCCTTGTAGGCGATGATGTCTACATTGGTGATGAGGGTTTGGCTGAGGAGTGTGATGACACTCTTGATTTGACTGGCTACATCTAGATTCGGTCAGCCACCATACCAGCAGCCAAGGCTGCCTCTCTTGTTGCCTCATCGATGAGCACTTCATCGAGGAGATTGCTCAACATCGTTGTCCAGCGTCCATCTCGAGATGCAGTTCCTACACCACAACCAAACACCACGGCAGCTAGAGAGATCACCCCGGCACCAAGGACGACTATGCCCACATCTTTGCCTATGACAGAGGATTCTCTTCGCATGTCGATCTTCTACACCTATGTGAAGAACAATAGACACGTGTGTAAGGTGATCGTGGACAGCGGCAGTTGCGCCAATATTGTGTCAAACCAGGTCTTGCAAAGGAAAAGGTTGAGTACTATTAGCCATCCAGCCCCTTACGAGGTATGGTGGATAGATAGCACTGCACTACCCATTCGTCGACAGTGCTAGGTGCCACTTAGGGTACGAACACTCTTAGAGGGTCCATCCCAAGATCATAAGGACTTCCTTGTGGTCAACAGATGTATGTTTTTTAGGGGCAGACTGTACGTTCCACGCACATCCCTCCGTGACTTCCTCACTTAGGAATGTCATGTAAGAGGTCTATCCGGCCATTTTGGTTGCAATAAGACCATTGCAGTAGTCAAGCACTGATGTGACTTAGTCATTGTATATTAAATCACACAAATATAAAATTTATAAAACTAAAAAATATAAATTTTCAAATATTTAGAAGTATTTCTGAGCAAATATATCAATTATAATTCAATAAAACTTCCAAAAATATTGGTAATTTTCTAGGTCGATCAAAAGGATGTAATATAATATCTGGTGATTATTCAGAATTGTTCTTAATGAATACAATTTCTATGAATTTAATACTAGGAAATGAAAAATAAATATATTTAAAATTCATGAAAAAGGGAAATAAGGGTGTGGCGTCAAGATGACATCAGCACTTGGCGAATGCGAATCGGGCAGAAATAGAGTTCTACTCGACGATTCTTACGTGAGCGATTACAGACAATTTAATTGATCAAATTAAGATCTATAAAAGCTGAAAAAATTGTAATTGAACAAAGTATATTTTGGTAAATTAAAATCACAAAAACTATCACTAAATGAAGCGTAAAGTAAGTTGAAAGTAGGAAAATAGAATTCCGGCATCGCGATGGTGATGCATCGGGGATGCACCAGAATCCTGAGCATTCGAGAGGATCGTCGTGTAGTGTCCACAACTTTGAAGGGTCTCCTTGGACAAAGACGACGTGGACAATCTCTAGATCTTATCATGAAGTCTAGAGATTAATGAAATGGGTCATTGAGTCATCTCTGGCGGCTATCACCTGGCGGAGCGGAAAAATGGCGACTTTGGAGCTCTTTGGCAGCTGTCACCTGATGGAGAGGAGCTGGATGGAGGTGGGGCGCATGTTAGGGAACTTCATCCTCAAGTTTGCGCAGCAAAAGGAGGCTCTTCATCGCATCTGGTACACTCTCAGGAGGTGGTGACTCGTCTCAGCGGATCATTCTCTTCTTGACGACGGCTTGTTCCTCGATCAATCAGAGATGATTTACTCGATGGATTTGCGATCCTTTTATCGCAAATCATTCAGCAATTTTAGTAGCAATGCTCCACGAATCGCATTGACAAGATTTTCGCCGATGATCCAACGATTCTCGTTGCTTAATCCTTCATCGACGATCTACAAGAAAGTCACGATAATCAAATAAAAATATATGAATTTTGACTCTAGGAGGATTTGAACCCATGATGGTCGCCCACCTCTAAGGAAGGTGTGACATGGGTTTAGTTCCATATCGGTTGTGTGCCGATTTTTTGGGTGAATATATAGGAATGTTAGCTTTGTAAGCAAAGTCTTACTCTCGCGTGTACGACCACTCCTTACCCCACAGCCGGCTGGCCACTAGTGACATGGAAGGGGAGTGGCACACACGTACCCCTATCGGGTCCAAGCCAAGCCGCTCGATCCCCTACTCGCGGCTACTCCCTAACTGTGCTTCTGACCCACTTGTTGGCCCGACTAGCCGATGGGTCCCCCCATTTTGTAATATTTTTATTTTTATTTCTTGTTTTTCATTTATCTCAAAATTAAGATTATAAAAATCATATAAAATCACATAATTACCCAAAAATTCACGTTAATCAATTGAAAACCACTTTTCACACTTTAACACAAATATAAGTCTATTTATCATGAGTTAAGGCTAAAACTATATTATTTAATAATTATTAACTCATGATAATGAAGACTTATCAAGCACTAGTTTTATTGGCCGACCCTCAAGCACGATGTAGGGAACATCGTCGCTCAGTGTCGAGTGTGTGCACTTGCCAAGCAGGTAAAGAAGAATGATGGACTCTACATGCCACTTCTAGTGCCAACCTGCCCATGGAATGATGTCAGCATGGACTTCGTTTTGGGACCCCCGCGCACTACATGACGACATGACTTGATCATAGTGGTTGTCGATAGGTTTTCAAAGATGACACATTTCATGTCATGTTTGGAAACCTCTGACGCCTCCAAGGTCGCTAGCCTCTACTTTAGAGAGATTGTGCGTCTTCATAGACTACCTAAGTCTATAGTCTCAAATCGTGACATACGATTTACCAGCCACTTATGGAGGACTCTTTGGAGATTACTTAGGACTAAGCTCAAGTTCTCCATTGCTTACCACCCACAGACTGACGGCTAGACCGAGGTCATCAATCGTAGCTTAGGGAATCTACTTCAGTCATTAGTCAGCGAGAGCTTAACCACTTAGGATCTGATCATACCACGTGCCGAGTTTGTCTATAACTCCTCGACCAATCATACCACTAGCATGAGGCCCTTCGAGATTGCACACGGCTTAGCACCCTACAAACCCCTAGATCTAGTACCCCTAGACCCTCATGTTAGAGTTTCCGAGAATGGTGTCGCATTTACCCAACATGTTAGCCAATTGCATTAGGACATCCATGATAGGATACACAGTCAGAATGGATTGTACAAGTAGGCTGCTGATATGCATCGTCGACCCTGTATTTTCCAAGTGGGAGACTGATAAGTCTTCATTATCATGAGTTAATAATTAGTAAATAATATAGTTTTAGCCTTAACTCATGATAAATAGACTTATATTTGTGTTAAAGCATGAAAAGTGGTTTTCAGTTGATTAACGTGAATTTTTGGGTAATTATGTGATTTTATACGATTTTTACAGTCTTAGTTTTGAGATAAATGAAGAACAAGAAATAAAAATAAAAATATTGCAAAATGGGGGAATCCGCCGGCCAGCCGGGCCCGCAAGTGGGTCGGAAGCGCAGTCAGGGAGTAGCCGCGAGCGGGGGCTCGAGCAGCTTGCTTGGATCGATAGGGGCACGTGTGCGCCACTCCCCTTCCACGTCACCGGTGGTCAGCCGGCTGTGGGGCAAGGAGTGGTCGTACACGTGAGAGGACTTTGCCTAGAAAGCTAACTTTACTATATATTCGCCCGAATAATCCGCGCACAACCGATGTGGGACTAAATCCACCTTGTAAGGCGCGGGCGACCGCCGCGGGTTCGAATCCTCCCAGAGTCAAAATTCATATATTTTTAACTGATTATCGTGACTTTTCTGCAGATCGCCAGTGAAGGATTAAGCAACCGGAATCGCTGGATCATCAGCGAAAATCTCGTCAACGCGATTCGTGGAGCATTGCTACTAAAATTTCTGAACGATTCGCGATAAAAGGATCGTGAATCCATTGAGTAAATCATCTCCGATTGATCGACGAACAAGCCGTCGTCGGGAAGAGGACGATCCGCCGGGAGACCAGTCGCCACCTCCTGAGAGCGTACCAGATGCGATGAAGAGCCTCCTCTTGCTGCGCGGACCTGAGGATGAAGCTCCCTAACACGCGCCTCACCTTCATCCAGCCCCTCTCCGTCGGGTGACAGCCGCCGGAGAGCCGCAAAGTCGCCGTTTTTCCGCTCCGCCGGGTGACAGCCGCCGGAGACGACTCGACGACCCACTTCATTGATCTCTAGACTTCGCGAGAAGATCTAGAGATTGCCCACGTCGTCTTTGTCCAAGGAGAGCCTTCGAGGTCGTGGACACTGCACGACGATCCTCCCGAACGCTCAGGATTCCGGTGCATCGCCGACGCGTCGCCGTCGCGACGCTGGAACTCTGTTTTCCTGCTTTATCTAGAGATTGCCCACGTCGTCTTTGTCCAAGGAGAGCCTTCGAGGCCGTGGACACTGCACGACGATCCTCCCGAACGCTCAGGATTCCGGTGCATCGCCGACGCATCGTCGTCGCGACGCCGGAACTCTGTTTTCCTGCTTTCAATTTAATTTACGCTTCATTTAGTGATACTTTGTTGATTTTTATTTACCAAACTATATTTCGTTCAATTACGATTCTTCCGGCTTTTACAGATCTTAATTTGATTAATTGAGTCGTCTGTAATCGCCTACGTAAGAATCGCCGGGCAGAACTCTGTTTCCGCCTGATTCGCGTTCGC